GATTTAAGGAATATGACGCAAATTATTTACATGCATATCCAGATAATACAAATGTATTTATTATAAAGAATTTATATCTCTTTGGATGGTGGAAAACTATTATTATCCTATGTTGTACGTGACACGAAACTATTCGACTGACAAGACAGTATTCGAATATCGCGATTTTACTGACAAGGACACAAAACATCTTCGAACATTTGTGACATATACGTCAAAATCAATGCTGAACTTTGAAGAGATTTTTGTCAATAAATCCTTTTGGATATTACCGCAAAGATCGATAGTAATAACGGAAAAATTTGATGAAAATGATTGGATTATAGTCAATTTACAACAAATAGGTATGTATAAAAACATTAATGTTATTATGTTTTATTTCGGTATCTTTTTTGCTTTTTAATGTTACGCACCTTAATGTTCGTCACACATGCACTCGCATACTCGCAAGTGCGCGTGTTACTCATGCTTGCAAGCAAACATTCTCACACATTAATCGCTCCTACACTTTTTTCAAACAAGTTGTTTAAAATATTTTATTAAATAATAAATAATCTGAGGAATTGTTTCACAAAAAACAATAAAAATTATTTAATAATTATTTTTTGATAAATTTTTTCAAGAGATTTTAATCATAAAAGCTTTCTTTTTTATTATAGGATATTATCGTGTTAATTATGATACTGATAATTGGCTTAAACTTGCGCAGTACATGAATTCTACGAAATATATCGACATACATGTTCTCAATCGAGCGCAAATCATAGATGATGCGTTTCACTTGTTCATACGTTATCAACTTAATTATGCTACGTTTTGGGAAATTACCGCATTTTTAGCGCTAGAAACGAATTATGTAGTATGGTATCCGATGTTTAAAGCTTTTGAATATATGACTTTTATAGTTTCAATAAAAGATGCTAATGACTTGAAGGTAGGTAGTAGCAAATTCCCATAAGAAAAATTGCATCATAATATTATTATGAATGCAGGATAATTCAATACAAACTGATGTCCTGAAATGTCGTATTCTTGAGCGATTTTTAAAATAATTTTTTTTTAACAAAATTTTGTTCGAAGGTTTATTTTGTGATATAATTGAAAAAGCTAAATTTCGGGCAAAATTTTGCAAAAATTGTTTTAGAAATCGTTCAAGAATATGATATTTCAAGAACATCAGGTTGTTTTAAATTATTTTGTAAATTTATATATGTATAAATATACAAAAAATATACATATCTTTTATAGAAAACAATAGATTGAAATTTATATTATTTATCAATTTTTAGGAAAAGATGGAAAAATTATTGAGTGGAGTTCTGTATCGAATAAAATACGAACCACTACCATACGAAAGCGTTCTCATCAAATGTTTAAGAGAGGAAGCCGTAAAATGGGCATGTATTATTGCTAACAAAAATTGTAGAAAAGTAGCCAATATGCAAATGACAAGAGATCTATATTCTGAAAGTGGCACGTATGTTTTACAACCACAATATTTATATGAACAATTTCTGTTGCAATACGTATACTTACATTATATACATCAAATACTGAACTAGATAAACTATTTTTTCATAAAATACACTGAATTTTTGTAAAAAATTTTTTTTTCTGTTAACGCAGTTTTGTAACGCAATCAGAATGGAAAGCATGGATGTATTGTAATGGTTTGGTGTCAGCAAACAGCACCATTTGGCACGCTGTATGGAAGAAATGGACAGCAACACCTAATGATATAAATTTTTTTAGAATATTTAAGTTGCAGTGAAGATCCTATAGTCATTTCTGATTATTTGCAGCTGAATTTGATTGATAGTTTTTTATTACAACACAACAATACACGTGCTCACATATTTCTTTTTATCGTTGCGCGGCATGCAAGCAACGATACAGTTTGCGATTTTATATTGCAAAATCTCAAAAATAATACATTTATGTTTACTTCCAACACGTAATAATAATTTCTTTGCAAATAAATCTTAGTATTTATATAAATTTTTGTTATATTTATAAATTTTACACTCCAGCGGCATTTTTATTCTTATTGTTTTTTTAAATGACAATATTTATCACTTTATTTTTTTGCAGGCAAGCCGACCAAATTGCAACATTAATTGTCATTATTACGCATCAACATGTTGTAAAGCAATTAAATAAGGTATATTTTTTTAACTTAAATAACACTTTTATTTTTTAACTACTTTAATATTAAGCTTATTTTTACTAGACTTTTCATGTACATGACATTATGTTTAACACAGCAATTAATACTCTCATAAACTGTAGTGCAAAAAAGTTTTAGGTTTACTGAAATTATCGAAATAATTTGTTTTAGGTACTTGAATTTACGAAAGTTAATTTGGGAGAAAAGCAACTAGTTGATGCTGTTGACGCAAAAATTAAAAAACGAAGATCGGAGTACGGAAAAAAAAACAGAAATTATGGGATCATCGGTCTATTACGGCCTAGATAATATTTGTTTATTTTATTATTCTTTTTTAAAAGCAAATTTTTGTTGGAGCAGATATTTGTTTTTTTAGATTTGCAATAAAAAAAACAAAAAATTATCAAAAATTATTTGACAACTTTATAAGCTTTATAGTCTATATTGAAAAAAGAATCGATTCTGAAGTAAAGAAAGTGTTTGGGAAAAGTGTAATGTAACTTGCAAAAAAATAATTTTTGTCAAGAATAAAATGATATAAAATAAAATATTTTAAACGTTTGTATTCCTACGCCAAAACTTTTTAAATATCTGAAGTAGTAGAAAAAATAATATTAATATTTGCATTTAATTGTTTATATAAATTTATCTGACACTCAAAAAAATGATCTTGCAATAATAGCTAAAAATTTTCTAGGTGTAAAAAATTAACTAAAACAGATAAATGATTAGCAACTGTTGTGATATTGCATATGTAATTACTTAATCAGTTTAGATGACAGAAACAGAATATATATCTGTATTGTTTGTCAACTTTAAAAAGAAAAGTTTCTCTAAAGCGCCTATTTATATAAGATCAATCACGTGTTAAATCATGCAATGAATAACATTTAGCAATGGTACCTAAATTTTTCAGAAGCTATTGCTAGAACATTACTGCTATAAATTCTATATGTGACAAACAATGTTTTCATAGATACGAAAAATAGCGATACATTCTTGTTGCGATATCTAGAAATCTGACTACATCAGCGAAATATTTTTTTGAGTGTGAATCAAAAGTTGTATCTATCATATTATATTGTAAACGATTCTTTACTATTGGCAATTGTCAATGTATCGAACTCACAATTTTATTTGTTAATATTTATTTATCGGTAATAAAAGTACATCTAAATTTCACCTAGAAAAAGTCGCTGTTTTTCCGAAACACTTAATTTATAACGAGTAGCAAAATATGATTTCTTCTACCGATTCGATGATAAAAAACATTTTTGAAATTATCGTCGTTTAATTGGTTTTATTTTCGAATAAAGAATATTGCTTATTTAAAGTTGTAAAAACGCATTTCATGAACGGGGCACAATCTTACACTGTTTTAAGTAGATCGCAACAGTCTTAAACAATCCGTAGCAGTCCTGCGACATCTAAAGCAATTCAAGAAATCGACAAATTCAAAATCATCTAAAAAAAGAGAAATCCGACGGACTAAACAGATCGAGTGGTGAAAAACAAATTATGGGGCACATTTCTGACGATATCTCTTGCAATAAACATAATTTGGTAGATTCATGTTTTTAATTTGCTGGTCTTTAGTTCTTCCTTTAATCATGCAAGACAAATGTGCAATAACAGACCTTGCCACACATTTGGACAATCACTAAACCGCCAGCAATTACTCGACATTCGTTATTGTGACACACAATCGTATGTATATGGAACTATAGAGCTATCGAAGTTATATCTGCTGCCACCAAATTAAATATCATCTTCTATCGACTAGTAAAGTGTTTGCCTGTTGAATGACCTCTTAGCCTGTTTGTGAGACATATATAATATCAATTACAAGTATCTTTCTTAGTATTCGGCGACTTCTCGGTGCAAATGGAATAGCAGTTTGATTTATATACTCCTGGCATTCACGATTTGTGTGTATTAACTGTATTATTCTTACAAGATTGTAAGTTTTTACGTAGCATTGCATTTTAATTGACTTATTTAATATATATATGTAGGTAAGTGACCAGAAACAAGATATTTCTAATTCAGAACATAAAAAAATTTATAAAGCATGATGAATACAACTTTATTTTTTCAAATCTCTTTCTGCATAAGTAACTGTATCACTAATTTTCTTTTTACTTTTTTATTTTTTATTTTGTACAGCATAAGTCTTTTCATGTGTAATAATTAATTATCATTACTGCAAAGTGCAACTAATTAACTGTGTATGTGTGTGCGCACAGCTTGCTTACATGTATTTGAGAATGTATATCATAACTGATAATAAATATAATATTTTAACATTTTAATGTTTCTCGGATTACTAGCGAATTACTTTAAGTTATCGAATTACTTTAAGTTATAATTTCATCTTTTTTTGTATTCTTGTATTGCAAAAAGCATTTTTAAATATTCAATATGTTTTAATGTGTTTAAGTATTTAACATGTTTTGATAATATTCTATGAAATTATTCATATATATGCAAACAATATTACTATCTTTCCAAAAACTGTCAGTAATATTTTATTAATTTTAATTTTTCATGTTTCTTTTATTATATCTTACACTGAAAGAAAAGAATAATAGCAGTAACCATAATCAATAGCGTTATTTGGTGTCTACCATGTTTTTCTAAATGTTCTAACTGTATGATTGCTTACATCTTTGGCAATATACTATACATATAAAAATATATTGCTAACATTATATTAACGATTCCTATAAAATTAAGTGCCGTAACTATAATTATAATATCATACAATTATTGTTTAAAATATCACATTTTGCTCTCAGTATATCATGGTCTTTTTTGTATTTTTTCAGTGTAAGTTACTTTAATCGTTATTATATACTTTTTTCTGTTATATAAAAATTAAGAATTATGTATTGCAAATGTATATATTTTAATTAAGATATTACAATTTTTCGGCTCGAATTACTCAAAATAAATCGTTATAAACAAGCTGCAGAGCCAGAGCTAATTAGGCATGCTCAGTTTATTACTTTATATCACATTAACAATAAAATAGACGTTTTGACCATTTGGGTGTGGTCATCTTCAGTACAATTATTAAAAAAATTAAAAAAAAACTATCTTCTAGATCATATTACAATTAATTACTCCTATAAAATGTTTATTTTGAAAACATTTAAAGGGTAGTTGAAACCATATTTTCAAAGTCATTATTAATACCAACACAGCAAACCTCCAGGTCATTGAGCATTAATCTCAAGGAAGTCGAACCGTCTAATTTATTGTTAATGTGATATAAAGTAATAAACTGAGCATGCCTAACTAGCTCTTGCTCTGCAGTTTGTTTGTAACGATTTATTTTGTATATATTTTATTGCTAACAAATATTTTTTCAGAAACTTTTTATATAAAAAAACTAAATATGATATTTCAAAAACCTTTAACAAATGGCGAAATAATGTTAATCATTACAATAGCACTTTGCACTGCTGTCGATCCCGAGCTTGAGACTGTAATTCATTTACCGCATTCTATACCATTAATACCATTGCATTATAATGCCAAAATAAAATTTAGTTACGAAACAAATGACATTATTGGTGAATGTAATATAACTATATATATTAATCGTCAAACGGAAAATATATCTATGCATCCAGTGACCTTCGCTATATTTAAAATTTATTTGTATAAAGACTTTGATAGTGAAAAAATTTATATTCCAAATTATTCATTTATTCATAAACGGAACATGCTTACGATTGATTTTACCAATATGCCAGAATTACCAAAATTTTTAACACCTGGAAGGTATACTCTAATAATGGCGTATATGCGTCACATAAATAATGACAAGAAATACATCTCTGCATTTTCATACTCTAAGGAAATTCCGGATAATATGTGAGTAAAAAAATATTTGAAACAAAATTATACTATACAGATTATTTTCGATAATATCCTTTTCAAAATATATTTATTAAAAACATTTATAAACCAGATGACATTCTGAGAATTGCGTATTACATAAAATAGACATAATAGTACTCAAATGAATTCAACACTGCATTTCAAATTTGTTGATTACTAGATGTAGAAATATATGTCAAATTGGTACATTTGCAACATTCTGTACAGCGTTATAAACTATGATTCAATTTTTATGAAATCCAACACTTTTAGTCTGTCCTCCATAGTTTATCCGTAATCGATTATTGAGTATAATTATATTTAAAATTTTATATTTATCATATTGTTAAAATATGATAGATTAAATGCGACAGGTGTTGATGTAATGACTGCTCAACAACTATTCCCATGCTGGGACAAGATAGCATTTAATGCCACCTATAAAATTTCCATTAAGCATCATAAAAATTACACAGCTTTGTCAAATATGCCTATACAAGCAACAGAAAATGACAAATTTGAATATGACATGATGTGGACACATTTTGAAAAATCATCTTCAATATTTATCGAACATGTAAAGGTTGTAATAACTTCATTCACTAGAATTCATACTTCGGTTGCAAACGTCACATTTTGGGCTAGAAAAAACATTAGAGGCTATTTACATTTAGCGGAATGTATTGCCCAACAAGTACTATACTTTTTGAAATGTAAAAGTAGTATAGACAAATCACCAAAAATAGACTATGTTGCATTCTGGGATGGTCAACACAATACCACTGAGACATGGGGACTAATTTTACAAAGGTAATATTCAGAACTAAAATAAATTGATCAAAAATGATTATTAAATGAGAAATGTAAAACTATCGAATAATATAATTTCAAAACTGAAAAATAAACATATTTTTATGTCACAATGTATAAATTAGGAAATAGTTGAAATCTATACAATTTCACTTGCGTCACATTAAGAAAATATCATTACTTTTAGTTTAGATTAAAATTAGAAATAATCATTTTTTTCGTCAATTCAGATTTTATTTTAGCTTTAAAAGCAT